ACTATGCCTCTCAGGGAAAATGAATATTTTTCTTATATTAAAACACTTCTATATTTCTAACATATTGCTAATATTTCTTATATTAAAATATCTCTACATCTGTTTATCATAAGCTTTCTATCTTAAGCATATAATGTGAAATATTTAACTTATGTTTTAAAGAAATGACCAAGAAATAACCCTGTTATTATATTACCCAATAATAATGTTAATTATGTCATATTGTTTTAGAATTTGAAGGTCATCTGTTTTCAATCTCTAAGTCTGCCCAAAGAATCAATAAACCAAGAAAATTCACAACTACCATCGCGATTGGTCCATTCAGCCATTTTCCACATGTTGTAACTAAGTGTTTGGATCCATGTCACATAAAATACACAGGTGGTTTCATCTTCCTATTTCTATCTGATAATGTGTGCGACGAGCCCCAGGGGGGCTGGCCCCGTGGCCGAGTGGTTAAGTTCGCGCGCTCCGCTGCAGGCGGCCCAGTGTTTTGATGGTTCGAATCCTGGGTGCAGACATGGCACTGCTCATCAAATCATGCTGAGGCAGCGTCCCACATGCCACAACTAGAAGGACCCACAACGAAGAATATACAACTAAGTACTGGGGGGCTTTGGGGAGAAAAAGGAAAAAAAATAAAATCTTTAAAAAATAAAGAGCCCCAGGGAGCACGTCCTCTTTAAGACCTAAATTACCTCTTGATAGAATGGAGATAAGAAAGAGCATTAACTCTGTTATGTGCTAAGAGAGCACTATTTAAGAATGTGCCCCCCAACTGGGGGTTATGTTGCCCTCATCTGGTGGGGGTTTGGGAAATGTGTGGGGCATATTTAGTTGTCACAATAACTGGAGTCTGCTACTGGCATTTAGTGCCTGGAGGCCAGGAATGGTAACTTCCTACAATGCCCAGGACCGTCCCACACTACAGAGAAGTGTCCAGTTCAAAATGCCAATTATGCCTTGTGTTGAAACACTGATTTAGTGGAGTGTAGCCCGTATTCATCAGGATTTTTAGTTGCAAACAACAGAATCAACTTTAGCTAGTTTAAGTGGAAAAGGAACTTTACAGTAAAGGATATTCAGTAGCTCACAGAATCTCCATAAGATCCAGAGAATCAGGCTGGATTGCCAAGTAGCAGGAAAAATGCCCCCTTACATGGCCAGCTGCTCCAGGGGAACCCTGTGGCCACTCCCTATGCTCTGCAGCGTGTACTAAGTACACAGCCTACGGGATCCCCAGAGAGCACCTTTGCCACAACTGTCTCTGAGAGCTCACTATCTCTCCACCATCCCTGAAGAATGGACTGATTCCATGTAGGGTCTCCCTTTTGCTTGGTGGAACCCAGGCCACATGTCTGAACCCCAGTGACAAAGATGCTGAGGACGTGGGTTCTCAGCCTCCACCTCAGGGCCTCTACTCTGGGGAAGCAGGGCTCACAAGGTAGGAAGCTCCCCAAACGTAGGGACGGTGTTCAAAAGGTGCTGGGCAGTCACTAAGTGTGACAGATGTCCACAAAATCATCCAAAGCCCTCATCACACTCCCCTCCATCAGACATTACCGAAGCGTGGACCTGCTAAAAATAGCTTCCCAATTTGCCTTCCAGGATCTTAAGAAGATATACTTAGTCTCTCCCCACTGTTGCACATTCATTCTATTTTCTCTACCTAAATTACCATATCAGATATTTTTTGGATTGGTACATACACATCGCTTCTATTTCTTTTTTCAGCCCTGTAATTCCCGTCCCGCTATAAGACTCTTATTTCTCTGTCCTCTCACCTCCTATAACTTTACGTATCCCACAGGAGCATTTGCAAAAAAAAATTTTTTTGCTATGGGTAAGATAACATATATGTGGTTAAAAAAAAATTAGAAAGTACAGCGCACTTTGATTAAAAGACAAAATGGTGGCAACATTGTACCCAAGCGGTTTTGGGCAGGAAGTGTGGGGAGTAATCTGAAGAGTAGTACCAATCTGCTATCCGGTTCTTTAAGAAGAAGCGTTCCATATACCATAGAGCTGCTTGAGTTGAAAGACTGAAAGGAGATGTCCCAGAATATAACACATAAATACAGGGCAGTGTCATTAGATAGTGGCTTTTCAGAAACAATGTGAACCACTATGGGGAAAGCAACTTTACTGGACACGATGAATTGATATCTCAGTTTTGTTGTTCCTGTCTTTGATGCTATAACAGAACTTCACAGCCTTCCAATAAGAGATTAACGACAGAATACAAAGAGGAATAAATCTGCAGTTTGAATTTTAAAATCATCCCAAATTGCCTGAATTTATCAGTTATGGATGCAAATAAGAGGTTTTGAGGATATTAAACTAGAGATGATAACAGCACCTTCCTCCAGCTCTCAAATTACCTTAAGATAAACAAGCCTATTATCCCCAAAACAGTGATCCAGGAAAGAAGTGCAGTAGCTAGTATCAGAAGTTTAAGTTCACTGACTCAGAGTGAATTGCTCTAATCTTCATTTTTCCCATGAATGAAATAATCCAGGGGTTTGTCTTGTTAGCATGAGTGCTGCTACCAAATTCATGCAGGGAGTAGGAAACATTTGTTTTTAAGTACACTGGGTTTATTTATTTTTTTATATGAATTCTTTCCACCTGGAAAAATTGGAGTTCAGGAATGCACCTACAATTTGTTCAAAGATAAAATGATTTTAGATGAGATTTGAAAGTAATGAAAATAACGGATGATGACAGATTATCCATTCATCAATTTATGTTTGGAAATACTATAGGTTTGTTGACTTTGATTCTATGATGAAATAAATTCTTACTTTGTTCCATATATGGTAGCTGGTTTATGCATCGGAGACCCAGTGCAAAGGTGCAAACACGTCCTATTGGTCATGTCTGAAATGACGTCTAGAATATGAAGTCAAAACTGCATTAATTACCTTCTCATTGGAATATATGGCTGCTAGAATGACTGAGCGGAGGCACATTTGGGATTTTAGAGTGAACAGTTTGAATCTTAAGTATGCTCCAGATACAAATCTAGATTATCTCAAAGGTCTGTAGTTAGTCTAGACGGAGAAGTAGATTAATGCAATAGTAATCTGATTCTACAAATGAGACCAAGTTCGAAGCTGACAGAATCTTGTCCTGCTCTTGAAAATATTACCTTTTTGACATCCCTTAAAATATTTATATAGGATCTACTATTTTTCCAGTCACTGGAAATGTTGGAATGAGGCTATAAATGTGAATACGTGCCACTGGGGTTTCCCTCCTAAAGGTGACAGCCAACACAAGTGAAACAGAATGCAAAGTCTTCTTGAATTCTAAGCCTCTTGCTGCCAACAGTTGCACCAGAGTGGCCCAATCAAGAAGGCCTCCCACATGGGTAGATAGCTGAGATGGTTGGATCAGAATGCATAGCATTGTCATATAGTCACAAAGAGTCTAGCATCCTAGGAAATTACCTGGCCAAATCAGCTGGCCAAACTATTTCAAATTATAGATTGGCACCTGAGGCCCAGAAAAGTGAATTGGTCTGCAAAAGATGACTTGTCAGTGGTGGACCCAGGTCTGGAAGCCACTCCACCTCCTGGACCAATGCTCTTTCACCAACCATGCAGAGCTTCCTGTCAAAAGACAAGGCTACATAACACGCAGTACCAATTTAGGACAACATATTCTGGCCAGGTGACCCAAGAAGCAATTGTTCTGTGACTCCGATTAATGAGGGAAAAGTCATTTTGAATATTTCAGATCCCAAACTTTGATTTTTGCAAATTAATGTCTTCTTAGATTTTTGAAATGGAACCATGAAGAAAATTTGTGTTATCATATAGTTCCCATAAATAAACCTGCTTAAATGAAGATTTCATTGATAAGGATTAGAATCTTTAATCCCTAAATTCACTATCTGGGTTTTTTTTCCCAGTCCCATCGCCTTAGCTGACCGCTCTCATGTATGTTCACAGAACTCCAGGATTGCGAGGGAGCAGCTTGTTACACATCCTCAACTTGTGAAACGTATTGTCTTGTACTTGGTAGAGAGAGGAAGTGTTGCTTTGTGGAAAGGGTGTGGCTTTGAAGTAGAACAGACCCAAGTTTAAACTTACGCCTACCTTTTTTTTAGCTTTACAGTCATTTCGCTTTATAGCCATTTAGCCATGTAGAGCCCCAGTTTCCTATGTGTAGAAGAGTACTAGTAACTTCCTAACAGAGTCACTGAAAGGAAGAAATGCAACAATGAGCCCAAACATCTGGCAGACAGCCAGGTGTTTAACAAATGGAAGCTACGATGAACTAAAGTACCAGTAAGACATGTAACCCCAGACTGCAGAAAGGATACTGTCTTAGCCTTTCAAAGAGCATCCTCGAGGAAGAGCTCCTTAAGGATAAAGATATTTATAGCCATATGCTGAGAAGTGCTATTCTCCTGAAAAACTGTTAGCTTCAATTTTAGGAGAGTGAAAACAGCCCTGGAACTTTGAGACGGAGCCTGGGGCGTAGTTCAGGTCCAGTTCCCCAACAGCACTGTGGATAAGGCACTCAAACTCCGTGAGTCTGTGTCCTCATTTGAAAAACAAGGCAAGCCCCCAAATATCCTTGCCTCCTCCCTTAGGGTTTCCATAAGGAAGGTGTCTGTAGACAGCGGAGCCCTCCACCCCTGAAAGGGGCTCCATCTGAGCAGCGCCAGGGTTTGTGCATCTGGATGGACCTGCTCCTTTCATCTCTGCCACGTCGCCACTTCAGCGACACAAGACTAGCAGTTCATGAGATGCTCTCTAGATCTTCTTTGCATTTAACGTTCTATTGTTAATTCTCTGTGAAGCTGACTGATGTGAAGTGATTTAAAAATCTAAAGTTGAAGGTGCTCTGACAACTGTGCTAAGTTACCTTGAAGGATGAGAACAGAAAGGTGAAGAAACACTGACACTCCCAGAGCTCTTGTTCATGACGTCATTACACCAACACAGAACCAACAACTTCGAAGAGCCAGGAAGAAAATGAGCAAAGGCAACAAGGGAAAACAATACGTTTATTAAGAGGCATGAAAATGCATAAACTCACTTATAAATAAATGTAGTATAATTTACCCAGTGAAAAAATAGTTAAAATCCATGAATAAACTGGATTTTATATTTGAAATGACTACATATTTGATTTCCAATAATTTCCCCTCCATCATGATCTCTTGGTAGCAGCAATTTTACAAATGACTATAGAGAAAGCTGTTACCAATGATTATTACGTGGGGGGAAATTTTTCAAGAATTTTATTTAAAAATGAACCAGTGCAAACAAATTCAGATTATAAGGAACATGGTAAGACCTGGGGCTTATCTTCAGAAAAGTAGAAAGTAAAAATCCTAAACATTTATTCATTAAGAAATGAAAAAGCAAACTACATTTTGATCATTAAAAAATAATACATACGGATATTATAAAACATTCTTAACCAGTGATTGCAATAATTACATTTATAAATTTTCATTCAAGTACTAGATTCAAGAAACATTCAAATTCCCATTAAAAGTAACTCAAGATATAGACACATGTGGACAATGCTTCTTTTGATTTAATAACAAAAACAATCATGTCAACAAGAGGCAAGTGATCTTTAAAATACTGTATCTTTTTATCTGTAAATTATTTTTCACAGTCTGTATATTTTATATGCAGGACCCAAAGAACATCTCACAACAGCTAATTAAGAAGTCCTTTCTATAAATCAACTCTTGATATTACAGAAACAAACATTCCAAAACACAAATTTAGCTTAAAAAATAACAGGGCAGAATCAGTCTTCTTTGTCAAGAAATTGTTAATTCCTTACCAGATGTTGGTTTGCCGCTCTGCAGACACTATCAGAAAACTCCTTTGGTATTTACCAAAGAGCTATTTAATAAACTGAAAAGATTTCATAAACTATGGAACCATGATAGCAATGCAGAGCTCATGTCAAAGCTGTACTGAAATCAACGTCACTTCCTTGATCACTGCTGTTAAGGGATCTTCCTTCCAAAAGCTCCCTCCTAATTTTGGCCTGAGTCTCAGGCTTCAGTAAAAGTTCCTTTATCTGTTTCACTTTGGACTTCAATCTCATCCTTTCTCGACGCAAAGCTTCATTAAGTAAGTCCAGGATTCCAATAGGTTTCTTGCCTATGGGGAAAAAAATTATATAATACATTTTACATAGAAATGCCAATGAAGAACATTAAATATGACACATTGACGTATCAAAAGAGGGTCAAAAGAGAGTTAAAAAGAAACCTTGAAAATGTTGCCCACATTTTATAGAAAAGGTTGCATTTCACCAAAAATATATCATTTACATGAAACAAATTTACTGTAAAGAAAGATCACTGCATAGCAACAGCAAACATAGGACAAACATGAAACACTATGGACAATAATTTCAACAGTGATTATTTTAAATTTAGCACTTGTTAGCTGTGTGTTTTGGCCTCAGATATAGTAGTCAAATGCCCTGCTGAGTAATATAAATGGCAGTATTCCATTTACGGCAAGGCCCCTTCCACGGCCTTTAATTTGAGTCCACGAGGCAACCCAAAGTCCCCTCTCCCTTGGCCATGGCTGAGGGCCAGTGAAACTTGGGCTGTTCTTTCACAAATAATTTCCTCTGCTAGTCTCGGCTCTCCATTTCTCTTCTGTTGTTTCAGAAATGCACACACATCGCTCATGAAAGTAGCAGGCAATCTCCACACACTGGACAAGAGACACTTAAACAGCACAATGCAAATTAGTCCATTGACTCAGCAGAGGCGGGCAGGGACGCTTCTCCTGGAGCAGTGGGGGCCTGCCTGCATTCGGGTCTCATTTCTTGTTGTTGTCACTGTCAGTGCCATTCCTATCAGCCTCTTCCGTTTTCACAGAGCTCCCATCCCCTGGCTTGTTTTTGTTCTGTGTTTCTTCCAGATACTGCTGGACAGCCTTGAGTACCGCATTCTCCACCAGCCTCTTACTGAGTCTTACCAGTTCAGCATCATCAGGCTCCCCTCCATTCTTATCACCTACATTCCACAATAGAGAAGAGAGGTCACTGAGATCATATTGCCATGGAAACCCAGCATGCAAAGGCCGGCTATTTTAGTTAGTTAAAATGAGCAAGTGTCCTTCAGTCTGGTAAATTGGGTCTATAAATCCAAGGATACTGGCTTGGCATTTCATTTGGTATTTGCAGAAGCAGGAGACTGCCTATTCCTGAAGACGTCAGGTTGAAAAGTAGTTCATTAGCCCCGGTCTAGAAATACTTTACCTAGCAATGCTGGAAGTTCCCCAGTTCTACATGGAATTTTTGTTTGTCTCGTCCAAGGCTAACTCCTACTATTAAAGTCCATGTGCCCAGCACCTGGAGCCTCAGACACGTGAATTCACCAACCAGATCTGTGTCTGCTTCTCCTTCTCCACCACCAAAAGTCAGGTAATCAAAATTTCCCTATCAGCTAACTACTTAGGATCACTAAATTTAAAATGTTTAGCCCAGAGGTTGGTTGTTAATAAACTTTCAGCATTCCCATGAAGACAAAGGTTGTTACTACTGCTAGGAACTGGTTTAAAATAAGTTTGTAAAACTAATCACAGGCTATCACTGCAATTTAACAAGTAGGAAATTGTTCAAGGAAGAGTTAGGATTACGAGAGTAAGTTACTAGATATTGATATTTTACAGCCATTTTGCTTCCCTGCTCGTGATGATCAAGGTTTAATTATTCCATTTTTCATTTTACTGTAAAAGGGCTGGGTCTCATCTATTCTCATGCTACACATTTCCCTCATTCTCTTCCCTGTCTTCCTTAACTGAGGAATAGAACAAGAGGGCTCATCTCTCATGTCCATTCAGCCCCTCAACTATTTCCACCAAGCTATGGCCCCAGAAAGGCAGATGATTAAAGGCAGAGATATCTGAGCACTTAAATATTAAGCAAATAGTAACAAATCTCAAGGGAGTGACAGACAGCAATACAGTAATAGCAGGGGACTTTAATACTCCACTTTCAACAATGAATACAGGATCCAAACAGAAAATCACTAAGGAAACATTGGACTTGAACTATACTTTAGACCAAATGGACCCAACAGACATAAACAGAGCATTCCATCTAACACACCAGCATACACATTCTTCTTAAGTGCACATGCAACATTCTCCAGGACAGATCATATGTTAGGTCACAAAATAAGTCTCAGCAAATTTTGAAAGACTGAAATCATACCAAGCATCTTTTCTGACCACAATGGTATAAAACTAGATATCAATAACAAGAGGAAAACTGGAAATTCACAAATATGCGGAAATTAAACAACATGTTCCTGAATAACCAATGAGTCAAAGATTAAATCAAAAGGGAAATCAAAAAATATCTTGAAACAAATGAAAATGAAAACACAACATACCAAAACTTATGGGACACAGCAAAAGAAGTGCTAAGAGGGAAGTTTACAGCAACACATGCCTAGATCAACAACAAAAAAAATCTGAAGTCAACAACCCAACTTTATATTCCAAGGAACCAGAAAAACAAGGACAAACTAAGCCCAAATAGCAGAAGGAAGGAGAGAACAAAGATCAAAGCAGAAATAAATGAAATAGAGAATAGAAGTATAATAGAAAAGATCAACAAAACTAAGAGTTGGTTTTTTGAAAAGATAAACAAAATTGACAAACTTTTAGCCAGACTGACCACGAAAAAAAAGAGAAGACTCAAATAAAATTATAAATGAAAGAAGAGACATTACAACTGATACCACAAAAATACAAAAAAATCATAAAAGACTGCTATAAACAATTATATGCCAAGAAATTAGAGAACCTGGAAGAAATGGATAAATTCCTAGAAATACTTAACCTTGCAAGTCTGAATTATGAAGAAATAGAAAATCTGAACAAGACCAATAACAAGTAAGATTAAATCAATAATCAAAAACTTCTCAACAAAGAGAAGCCCAGGATAAGATGGCTTCACAGGTGAATTTTACCAAACATTTAAAGAATTAATGCCAGTTCTTCTCAAATTCTACCAAAAAACTGTACAGGAGAGAACACTCCCAAACTCATTTTATGAAGTCAGCATTGCTCTGATACCAAAGCCAGATAAGGATACTAGGAGAAAAGAAAGCTCCAGGCCAATATCCTCATGAATTTAGATGCAAAAATTCTCAGCAAAATACTAGCAAAACAAATTCAACAGCACATTAAAAGGATCACACAGCACAATCAAGTGAGACTTAATCTCTGGGATGCAAGGATGGCTCAACATATACAAATCAATCAATGTGATACATCACATTAACAAAGTCAAGGATAAAAATTGTGATCATCTCAATAGATGCAGAGAAAGCATTTGACAAAATTCAACATCCTTTCATGATAAAAACCTCAACAAATTGGGTATAGAAGGAACAAAATTAAGGAACATAATTAAGGCCACATATGACAAACCCACAGCTAACATACTCAACAGTGAAAGATTGAAAGCTTTCCCTCTAATATCAGAAACAAGACAAGGGTGCCCACTCTCACCACTTCTATTCCACATAGTAATGGAAGTACTAGCAAAAGCAATTAGGAAAGAAAAAGAAACAAAAGGCATCCAAATCAGAAAGGAAGAAGTAAAATTGTCTCTGTTTGCTGATGACATGATCATGTGTGTAGGAAATCCTAAAGATTCTACCAAAAAACCGTTAGACCTAATAAATGTAATTCAGTAAAGTTTCAAGATACAAAATCAACATGTAAAAATCAGTTGCATTTCTATAACAATGAACTATCAGAAAAAGAAATAAAGATAATTCCATTTACAATAGCTTCAAAAACAATAAAATACTTACGAATAAATTTAACAAAGAAAGTGAAAGATCTACACACTGAAAACAGTAAGACACTGATGAAAGAAATTAAAGGAGACACAAATAAATGGAAAGATATCCCATGTTCATGGATCAGAACGGTTAATATTATCAAAACGTCCAAACTACCCAAAGTCATCTACAGACTTAATGTAATCCCTATCAAAATTCCAACGGCATTTTTCACAGAAATAAAAAAAATCCTAAAATTCACATGAAGCAACAAAAGACCCCGAATAGCCAAAGCAATCTTGAGAAAGAACAAAGCTGGAAACATCACACTTCTTGATTTCAAACAATATTAAAAAGCTATAGCAATCAAAACAGTACAGTTTTGGCATAAAAACAGACACAGACCAATAGAAAAGAATCAAGAGCCCACAGGGCCAGCCCTGTAGCCTAGTGGTTAAGTTGACGCACTCTGCTTTGGTGGCCTGGAGTTTGCCGGTTCAGATCCTGGGCATGGACCCAGCATGACTCATGCAGCCATGCTGTGACAGCATCCCATATAAAGTAGAGGAAGATTGGTACAGATGTTAGCTCAGTGACAATCTTCCTCAAGCAAAAAGAGGAACAGATGGTAGCTGAGGACGAATCTTCCTCACACACACAAAAAAAGAGCCCAGAAATAAACTCATGCATATATGGTCAACTAATATTTGACAATGAAGCCAAGAATACACAATGTGTAAAGGATAGTTTCTTCAATAAACGGTGCTGGGGAAACTGGATATCCACATGCAAAAGAATGAAATTCAACCATTATCTTACACCAATCACAAAAATTAATTCAAAGTGGATTAAGGACTTAAACATAAGACCTGAAGTCATAAAACTTCTAGAAGAAAAACATAGGCAAAAAACTCCTTGGCATCGGTCTTTGCAATGATTTCTTTGGATATGACACCAAAAGAACAAGCAACACAAGCAAAAATCAACAAGTGGGACTATATCAACCAAAAAAGTTTCTGCACAGCAAAAGAAACAATCAACAAAACAAAAAGGCAATCTACAGAATGGGAGAAAATATTCGCAAACAATATATCTGATGAGGAGTTAACATTCAAAATATATAAGGAACTCACACAACTCAATAGCAAAAACACAAACAATCCAATTAAAACGGGCAGAGAACTTGAAGAGAGATTTTTCCGAAGACATACAAATGGCCAACAAGTACCTGAAAAGGTGCTCAATATTACTAATCATCAGGGAAACACAAATCAACACCACAATGACATATAACCTCCCACCCGTTAGAATGGCTATTATCAAAAAAACAAGAGATAACAAATGCTAATGAAGATGTGAAAAAAAGTGAACCCTTGTGCACTGTTGGTGAAAATGTAAACTGTTGCAGCTACTATGGAAAACAGTATGGAGGTTGCTTAAAAAATTAAAAATAGAATTACCATATGACCCAGCAATCCCACTTCTGGGTATCTATCTGAAGAAGATGAAATCATTATCTGAAGGAGATATCTCCCATGTTCACTGCAACATATTTCACAATAGCCAAGACATGGAAACAACCTAAGTGCCCATTGATGGTTGAATAGATAATGAAAATGTGATATATATATATGTGTGTGTGTGTGTATATATATATCTCCCCACAATGGAATATTATTCAGCCATAAAAAAGAAGGAAATTTTGCCATTTGGAACATGGATGGACCTTGAGGGCATTACGCTAAGTGAAGTAAGTCAGACAGAGAAAGACAAATACTGTAAGATACCACTTATACGTGGAATCTAAAAACACCAAACTCATAGAAAGAGAGTAGAATAGTGGTTGCCAGGCATTGAGAAGGGGTCGGGAAATGAGGAGATGTTGGTCTAAGGGTACAAAGTTTCAGTTTTAAGATGACTAAGTTCTGGGGATCCAATGTACAGCATGGTGACTATAGTTAACAATCTGTACTGCACTTAAAAGTTGTTATTAGAGCAGAGCTTTAATGTTCTCAGCATAACAACAACAACAAAATTATAATTTTGTGAGTTGAAGGATGTGTTAACTAACCTTATTGTGGCAAACATTTCACAATATGTACTATGTGTATCAAATCATCACATTGTACACCTTAAACTTACACAACGTTACATGTCAATTATATCTCAATAAAGCTGAAAAAAAAAAGAGAAAGAATTAGAAAGCTCAGACA